AACAAACAATTTGTTATTAATTTATTAACATACAATGAATCAAAATCGAGAGATGAAATTAACAAAAAATAGCTCTAGAAGGAAAATCATTAAGAGAATCAGAAATAAGAACTAGGTATTATGAATGCGGCTAGTACAAGTGCAAATTCTAGTGGCTGGAGGAGCCAAACAGAAAGTACATAATTACACCATAACAGACATGAAGGAAATAAGCAAGCAATCTAATTAATTTCGTATTAGTATATAATCTCTATTGCTAATTATCTTAGTGATTTAATTTCGTATATAATCTTTGTCGCCAATTATCTTGGTGATTAATTTCATATATTATCTTTATTGTTAATTATCCTGGTAATTAATTTCGACGATGCTAAATATATCAACAACAAACAATTAGGGTTTGTATTCATGGATACCATGAATACCATTAAGGGGGTTACACGTCATTAAATCTGCAAAAAATCTCTTAAAAACATTGATTTTAATAGTGTGTGACCCTGTGTGACCTCCTTATGATATCTGAATAAAAATCCTATGAATGATTGGTATTTTTCTTTTCATAATCATTACATATTAAAATTAAATAATTATAAATAATTATAAGATGTCAAAGCACAACTGACTTGGAGAAGAAACTAGTGTTCCATGTCGCAATCCAAAAAAGGAAACCAAAGTGGTCGCAAATGTGGTTGCAACCAGGTGTCACAAACCATTTTTATATGTCGCAAATATGGTTGCAACCATCATCAAGAATTGCAACCAGCATCTATAGAAGAAACAATTCAATATGAAACATTTTGATATGTGATGTTTGATTATCAGAAATTGGCAGACATTGAAGCATGCATGCTACCTTGAACATTTTACAATCATTCTCACACATTCCTCATGTACATAAGGCTAATCTGACTAGTGTCTCCCAATGTTACAATGCAGCTGAATTCCAAGGAAAGGGGACAAGTCCTGGAGTTTACCATGACTACATCATCAACATCAGGAAATTTTTTCTGACATGGATTTATGTAATTATTATACTATTTACATAAGTTTACAGCAGGCCCATAATATTATGCAAATAAGCATACAAAAATTATGCAATTATTACATTGAGTGTAAATATTACATAATTTTTTATGCAAATATTACAACTTTACATATTAAAATTTATGGGCATAATATTACAGCAGGGAAAATTTCCT